AACGTATGATCTTATAAAAGCATATGGCTCAAAATCATAACTCATTAATCATAGGAATGTGAGGCATATTGGGTCATCAAGATAATGTTTGCTTTCACACATATGATTAACTTTGAGCTTTTTGTATAAAAACTTATCTATTTTATGAACTTTAAAAAATCTGTTTAAAATCACTGAATTAAATTAACTTCACATTTATTAATATTACAGTCCTTAAAAAACCCATTCAATTCATTTAAAAAACCCAGAAAACAATAAGGAAATTTAGGCTCACAAAGTCATCATATCACATCAAGCTATTATGACCTGTGTCTAAATTAAGGGCAGTGCCCAAAATAAAGAAAAGCGATTACGGAAGCTAGTGCTGGTCTAAAGCATTCGACACTCAGACACCAGTTATTCCACAGGAGAGCTATTATGCACAAGGTAACAGTATTTTGCAACAGGATTATATCTGATTCCACTGCCACCCCAATAGAGTATCTAGGGTCTTACAAAGGTGTAACAGGTAACTGTATTCAGCTATCTCTTTCTTTGGTCACCAATGCTAAGACAGTGTTCCGTAGAACTTACAAAGGACTATTCTGTTTATGAATAGGCTCCCACAGAGGTTTTCAGATTGCTTAGCACAGCTCCAAGAGAAGCAGGATGGGGGAACACTAAGCGGGCTGGGGAGTGGGAGGGACAGTGAAGAATCCATATAAATATATATTTATTTAAGTATGTGAATTCATAGAGATGCAGTCAAGGATGGTTAACAAAATGTTAATGAGTAAATACTTCAGGATAGAGAGACTTCAAGTAAACTTTGATTACTCTTTAGAGATCATGCTCAAATTATTTTCAATGAGAATAATTCATCATGAGGAAAAATAGGGAAGAACTGACTACAACAACTCAAGATTAGACGCAATGACAGAAAAGGATCCCAGGCATATTAACATGCCCAGATTGATTCCTCATGGGGGGAGGACATCAATCCCACTGCAAGGTTTGCATACTCAAAGGCACAGAGGAGAATCAAAGGGGAATTAGGAGGAGGAAAGTGGTGAAAGGCAAGAGCGAGTCACTATTTGAATGCACGTGTCTTCTAGCTGCAGACATGCTCCCACCAGCACATCAGGACAGGACACAGGGTATGAATGTTGGCAGCACAGTGTTTCACGGACTTACTCACTGGGCCTGGATCTTAAAAAATAGAAAATGATGGCAAAGAAGAAATAACAGGTCAGGATTTGAAAAGACAGCCAGGGACAAAATTTCTGTTTTAGTTATAATTTTACGAGGCAGACTTTCTAGGAATCTAGTTTTCAAATTTGTGAGAGGAGGGTGGTAAAGCATGCTATGTATTAGATTAAGTTATTCAAAAAAGATAAATTTCTAGTTATTAGATTCAGTTTTGCATTAGTCTTTTAAATAAAGATTCGCAGCACCAAGTTCAATGGTTATAAGCAGATGCAAAAAAATTTTAAGCATAATTAATGCCATAATGAAGAGGATCTATCAAGAATGGAGTAGACTAAATATTCTCTAGGAGAGGGCAGAGGGGTATAATATAAGTGTGTACAATATATTCTAAAGAGTTTTCAAAATGGTTAAAATAAATCACAATTTAAAGGGATTAAGTTTCGTTATTGAGAAAATTATGTAAAATACAATGCTAAATAAGGAGGCATTGTTTTATTAATAGTAATACTATTAATAGTAATACTATTTGAGTGTGTAATATTGAAGAGCAAGGGAATTACTAATGGATCTGGTCTAGTTTGAGTTAATGATCAAAACAAAAACAATTCGCCGGGCGCGGTGGCTCACGCCTGTAATCCTAGCTCTTGGGAGGCCGAGGCGGGCGGATTGCTCAAGGTCAGGAGTTCAAAACCAGCCTGAGCAAGAGCGAGACCCCGTCTCTACTATAAATAGAAAGAAATTAATTGGCCAACTGATATATATATAAAAAAATTAGCCGGGCATGGTGGCTCATGCCTGTAGTCCCAGCTACTCGGGAGGCTGAGGCAGAAGGATCGCTCGAGCCCAGGAGTTTGAGGTTGCTGTGAGCTAGGCTGACGCCACGACACTCACTCTAGCCTGGACAACAAAGTGAGACTCTGTCTCAAAAAAAAAACAACAAAAAAACAAACAAAAAACAAACAAACAAAAAAAACAAAAACAATTCCAACTTCTTTCTACTATGTTAATCGATTCAATATATTATACAATCTAATTTACAATTACAGTCTCTCTCTTTAGAGTATTCAACTCTTGGCCTCTCAATTTGCTAAACTTTCCTACATTTGAACAGAACTCAGGGCCCCGAGACTTGGATGCTGCTTCATGACAAGAGTGGGTTTCCCTAGCTTCTAGTGACTCTGGGTGGGTTGTCATATCCAGCCAGGCAGCCTGACCTGCTTCCAGAGTCAAAGCCACAGCTGTTCCAAGCTCTGCTGCACACTAGCTCTGTGACCTTGGCTCCATTACTTTCCCTAAGCATGCCTTTCCTGATACAGGGTTGTTCTGAAGCATGGTAGGTCCTGAGACATAGGAGATGCTGGATAAATGTCTGCTGTGGGCCTTTTGGAAGCAATAAACATAGGATGGTTCTGGACACATCAGCCCTGCCACTCGCTAGCAGTGCAGTCCTGGGGGTGGGGGTGTGTTCAGTAAACATTCATAGCTTCAGTTTATTGAAGTTTACTTAGTACAGTTTACTGTTTACTCTGTACACTGGATATAACATCATCGACAATTATAAATAATAAATGCAAGGGTCTAGTACAGGATTTGGCATGAGAGCAGTCACTAAATGTCTGTCCTGATCTCAGGCCTGCTGACTCTGTGTGGTACGAGGAAGTGGGTATGAGGGGAGCGGGCAGATGGAGTCCCTGCCCCTATGGGCATACAGGCTAGAGCAGAGGAAACACATCAAAATGACAGAATGTTAGAAAAGTAAATCCATTTTATGTGTGAACACTAATACAAGCACTATAATATATCTCATATATTCAGTCAGGCCCAGTCTGTATTATCTAACACAATGTCCAGTCAGAAAGTCAAAATCATTTGCCTCACAGGCAGTTAATTTTGATTTGAAACAGTAATAATGAAGAGTCTGAGAGAAATTTAAATCTTGATGTTGCTAATATTCATTAATAATTACCTAGCAGTACGGCTAGATTATTCATAATTCAAAACCATGTTTTGTTTAGAAGGACATTAATAATCATTATCATGACCCATTCTAAGGCTGGTTAGTAGCTACTGGTAAACTGTACCCAAAGGTGTAGTATTTTAGAGAAAATAGAAGGGGAAGATAAAAATCCAGTAGAGTCTGAACTGAAGTCAGCAATGAAAATACTCATCAGAACAGCAATAGAAAATAATAACTGTGTAAAGTGGCACAATAATGTAATGCATGATCACTATACAATAAACAATTTGTTACTATTTGAGGAGAAAAAATTACAATGACAACAGACTATATAGCTGGTATTGAATCAGACTGTAAAAACTTCTCAAAATTAAAAAAAAAAGGTGATTCAGACAATAATTCTATATTTTTAAATGACAAGAAACCACTGTTATTCGGGATCATAAATTCAAGTATAACTATGTACCACAACCTTCTTTGACCCTTCTGAAAAAGTGTTACGCCACCTTTTAATATTCATATATCATTAAATCTATCTCTTTTTTTTTTATTTTGGCATATTATGGGGGTACAGATTTTAAGGTTTCAATAAATGCCCATTTCCCCCCCTCCCCCCTAAATCTATCTCTTAATGCGACCCTAGTCCAGAGGCTCTGAGGGCCAGTGCACTAGGTCAAAGCCCTGGGCTCCCTCGAGCCCTGTCTTTACCATTAACTGCCAAACCAAGAGCAAGTCATTCCACTCATGCTAGGAGCCTCATCTGTAAACTAATTACTGTCCAGCTCAATCAGGAAGTTCAAATGAAGTAACATACATAACCTTTACTTTGGAAACTATAAAATGCTAAAAAGTAGAGCATTAGGAGTGATACCTCCTGATATAGCACCCTCACAGAAATCCTTATTAGTCCACATGTCTACACGTACAATTGTGTATATGTGATAGTCCAATGGAAAATAAACACTTCAAAATAATAACAGTTACAGCAAACCTTTACTGGGCATCAACTATATGCCAGGCGCTCAGCCATTTTCTTGCACGATATCATTTAGTATTTTTTCCTTTATTTTATTTTAATTGACAAATAATAATTATATTCATTTAGTCTTTGTAACAGCTTTATGAGGCAGGATCCATCTACTATCTTTCTTATTTTAAATATGAAATACCTAAGGCTTAAAGAAGTGAAGTAACTGGCCCCGAATTAAACAGAGCTGGGATGTGTGGCTCCTGAGTGTGTGTGCTTTCAGCCACTACAAAACTACACATCGGGGATAACAATGAAGAGACTTGGAGAGAGGCTTCCATTTAGCTCATTCTGAATCTCCAGCACTGCTCAGGGGTGCCTGAGCCACAGTGAGGACTGCACGTGTTTCCATAAACATCCACTAAGATAATGACAAGCAAATTCTGGACTTGGAGGATAGAAAGAGGAACTTTTTACATATCAATAAGCAAAGAGGGAATACAGAAAGACTATACTTTTTATTATAAAGGATAGTTGGCAATGAGAAATTGGAAGCTTAAAAAAATTCAGTATCCTTTGGTTATTCAAATTAAATAAACTTTATCAGTTTAATCTTTGGTGGAAATCAAACCAAAAGAAAATTAAAAAGCATTGTTTAGAAAGCTAATATAACACTCCTTAGGCATTTTTAGATTAACCAAATGCCAATGAGATGTAGATGTAAAACCAGTGATAAATGAAGAATTTCACAATGAATAATAAAAAGTAGACTCAAAGGCAGGCTTAGATTCTTTGTTTTTAAGCATCAATTAAAAAAAAGTCATCCTCATTGTGACAAGTTTGGTATTGCCATAAAATGTACCCCCCCCCAAATATAAATAAACTTACCTTTGGTTTTTTGATCAGCAGCCTGAAAAAAAAAATCAGAAACTCTTTAGGAATAATAATGTGTAGAATATACACATCTATGAAAGTTTAATAAGCAGACTTTTAATATAGGAAATTTAAAAAACATGTTTTTGCCTAGTTAATTTATCATCATTTATTATTCAGAAAAATTTATAATTGTCTACATGATATTAATTACATGCCAATATTAATCTAAACTCAAAAAAGATTCTATCTGGATGCTCATTTGAGCTCTATATTTTAATAGAGTCTAAAAGGCACAGAGTTCAAACTACAAGATACACCACACTAGGCAAGAACAAAGATAAATGGCATAACTTAGTATTTTAAATGCCATAAAATTCAAGCATGACTATATGGTTAACAGTAGGACTTGTTATTTTTAATATTTAATAACAGGATCTGCACTAATTCTTCCACCTACCCAGGGACATCTACATAATTGATTCTCCCTTAACTCCCTTTTTCTCTTCAAATATTCACCTTATGTAAAATGTTGATTTTCTGGGCACTAACTAATATCTCATAAGAATGTAACCATTTGCCTCACTGCACACCCCATTCTTCCTTTTCCTTTCTGTGTGCCCTCTCCCCTTCCATACTGAGTTCCCAGCTCCCTTTCTGGAGGGTACACGTCACAGATGCTTCTGTGGTTTGTGCTTTTCCCAGGAGTGCCATTAAACTTTAGTTTAATAAACCTCCATGGATTGAAAAAAAAAATTTAATAACAGGATCTGTAAGAGAACATTTGCTGAAGCTGCTAGAACTATTTCTAGCTTTTCTAATAAGATCAGTCAAATGGCCCTTGCTTCATTTCTTAGACTTGGTCGTTCTGGGCAGTCCGTTTTAAAGAATAGCATGGACATTCTTTACCACTAGTAACTGAAACGCTGCTTTTTAAAAACACAGTTCCAATATTTCTAGTTCTATAAGGAAGATGTTTTGCGACTGCCACCCTGGATTTCCTTTACCAGCACAATACCTATTATTCGCTAATTGCAGATTTAGCATATCGATTTCAGAAGCGATAGGATGAAACTCTGACATGTAATGGCTGTGATAATGGAAGTGAGACACACAAGGGTGAACAAGAGAAGCAGTAAGTAACTTTAGCCAAACCTTTTTCTGAGCACCTTCCTTCTTTTTCTTTTCTTCCTGCTTTTTCTTTTTCTTTTCTTCCATCAAACGTTCCTCTTCTTGTGTTTCTTGCTCTTTCTCCCTATTAAACATAAGAAAAACCTGCATAAGTATAATGTCCATTTAAAATCCCAAAATGAAAACACATTAGTTGCAGAAAGTTTTAAGTAGGGCAGAGTTTTGTGCGTGGGATGAGGAAAGCCACTCTGAGAGGGTTAGAAATGGCCATCAGCCTACACTCCTGGCTCAGTCCCTAGTAGCACAGCAAGCTGCCCTGCCTCCTTCAGTGGCCCAGCTGTCTCCTTCATCCTGCACACGTTTGTGGAGCACCAACCTGTATCATCAGGCATCGTGCTGGGGATGAGGGTGCAAGATGGAGTAAGATGCAGTTCCTATAGTCCCGCCGCAGACCAGTATTTCTCAAAGTGTTGTCCCAGGGACCACCAATCTCAGAATCATTGGGGGTGTTTATTAAAAATGTAGATTCCTAGGTTCTACCCTAGCCCAACCACGTCAGAATCTTTGGGGGTGATTCTTAGGCACACTGTAATTACATGTTTGTTTGATAAACCAATTGTTTCTTTAAACAAAGGTTCCCACACAGCATGGTGAGCTGCTACAAGGATACACAATATAGAACTCCCCTCTGCAAATTAATTAGAGCCAGCTATTCCCCAGTGACACATTTAAGATTTTACTGTAACAGTAAAATGGAACATTGTAAATAAAGAGCCCACCACACAGCTAGGAGATGGCTTACGCTTCCCTACCTGTGCTCATGTTCACATGACAAAGCCTAATTCAGATGTCTGCTCTTTAATAAAGCTTTTTCGAATTTCCCCTGGCTGGCAGTAATCTCTTCTACCTCCAATGCCTACTATATAATTTCTGCCATTTTTCATTAATAATTAAAAAATTAACATCTAATCACATTTTTACTTCATAAATATATGTTCATAGAAAAAACACACATATTTCAAAAAGACCTATAATAAAAAGACTCCTCCTTTTCCAATGCCCACAGGCCCTTCCCTTAGGTAACACATGTTAATTGTTTCTTGGATATCTTTAGGAAAATTCTTTCTATATATTATACATGTAGCTGTCTTAAAAAAAAATAATGGGGGCATACTATTTACTTTCTTCCACATTATTCTTTTTTCACTTAATTATATACTCCAATATGTATGTGGAGGCTAAGTTCCTTTACATCTCTACATAAATATACTTAGGTTGCTACTTCCTGCCTTATCAATTTGAGACCTTAATAGTTTAATTCCTGTAATGATGGATATGGATTTGGCTCTTACATCACTCTCATAACTACTTTTAGTTAAATCAATAAATGCCATTTGCTTTATAAAGAATATGTAAATGTTTGCTACAGAGCTATTTAGTGCATCGTGATTACATTTTACTTTTTACGTAGCTGTTTTTTCCAGAGCTTCTAATTGGTTTTCTTTTCCTCTTGCACTATTCTTCTTATAAAAATTGTTTTTGTTTTTTTATGCCCCTCCCCTCGCCCCAAGTTTAAAACACAGCACTCTTAAATCTCCTTTCCAGCGCCTTAGTATAGTTCCATTTGGGCTTGGAGCATTCTGCCAGAGCTTACTTACAGCCTACAGTTACAGCCCTTTGTGGTAAAATACACAATACATAAAATTGACCATCTTAAGCATTTTAGAGTACAGTTTAGTAGTAGTACATTCACATTGTTGTGCAATAAAAATCCACAACACTTTTCATCTTGCAAAACTGAAATTCTGTTCTTATTAAAAAACAACTCTCCGCCGGCACGGTAGCTCACGCCTGTAATCCTAGCACTCTGGGAGGCCGAGGGAGGCGGATTGCTCGAGGCCAGGAGTTCGAAACCAGCCTGAGCAAGAGCGAGACCCCATCACTACTATAAATAGAAACAAATTAATTGGCCAACTAATATACATAGAAAAAAATTAGCCCGGTGCATGGTGGCGCATGCCTGTAGTCCCAGCTACTCGGGAGGCTGAGACAGTAGGATCGCTTGAGTCCAGGAGTTTAAGGTTGCTGTGAGCTAGGCTGACACCACAGCACTCTAGCCTGGACAACAGAGTGAGACTCTGTCTTAAAAAACAACTCTCCATACCCCACTGCCCAGCCCCTGGCAACCACCATTCTACTTTCTATCTCTATGAATTCGAGTACTCTAGATACCTCATTGTGGTTCTGATTTGCATTTCCCTAATGTTTAGCATCTTTTCAATATACTGTTGCCATTTGCATATCTGTTTTGAAGTCTACAGTCACTTTTATCAGTTTAATTGTTCATTTATATTAAGTTTCTGTTTGGATCACTGTATGATTTCTACCCAACCCAGACTGATACTATGAAAAGTAGGAACTAACAGATTAAGCAGGAGATAATACACACAAACTCCTTAGCATACATCATCACTCATCCATTAATGTTGACTTAAATTTATTAACTCAATCGTCCCATGACTTCCTTTCTTGAATGACTCAATTTGCTGGAAGATATCCAAGTATCTTTCCAAGAAAGAGTACCTAGGAGGTCAATTTTTAGAGACTATGCATGTCTGAAAATAGTTTCAGGCTACCTTTTTGTTTGGCTGGTGCCTTGGCTGAGTAGAACATTCCAGGTTGAAAATCAATTTTGAAGGCACTGTGCCACAGTATTTTAGCATCCAGTTCCACTCAAAAGAAGTCTGATGTCATTTTGATTTTCAGTCTTTTTTGGGTGATATATTTTTTATACAGAAGCTTATAGCCTCTCTTTATCTCTAAGTTTCCGAAATTTCACAATGATGTGCCTTGGTATCTTTTCTCCCCCCGTTTTTTGTGCTTAGCATTTGGCTGAGCCTTTCAAAATAGAGACATTTCTTTCAGATCTATAGTTTCTTGAAAATATCCTCCTTCTGCTTCTAAATAACAACATATTGAACCTCTTAGATTGATCACCTGTAATTTATCTATTTTATACTTTGTTATTGTTGTTTCTATTTTTGGGGTGTTTGATTCAACTTGGTTTTCTAATCCTTTTGAGTTACTTATTCTGTGGTATTTAAAATTTTTAATAACTTGTTTTCTGCCTTGAATGCTCCTTTTCCACAACACCTATGTTTTTGTTTCATTCCTATTCTAACTAAGGATATTAATCAGGGTTCTTCTGAAGGTCTTCTAAGTTTTCTGCATATCTTTGTTTCTTCTCTGGATACTTCTTCCTTTAGACTTTCTTTGTTTTGAAAGCCTTTCCTCAACTGTCTATTAACCCTTGGTTGTTTGTTCAGGGTTACAAGTGAGGTACTGAAATACCAATTAGGAACTTTGTGTGCATGGGCTGAATTTGTTTCATGGCAGGGTTTGCTTTAGGGAGATTAGGTCAGGAGCTGCCTATTTTGCTAGAGCAGCCTCAAATGCCAAAACGTGCAGTCCCCCACCCCCCATTAACAGGGTGCTTTATGTATAATGTTAGCTCCTGACCTTAACTACCCAGAATTGCTCTGTTGCAGAAATTTTACATGTCACTACCCTGCCTTCTGACCATCACTTCCTGTCCTTGTTCCTATTGCTACTGTACCTGTTCTTTATCTTCATTGAAACCTATTTCTTGATTCTTCCTTTCTTGACTTTCTTGACTCTTTTCTTCTAAACTATTTTTGTCAACTCTTTTCCTGAGCCTAAGCCTTAAGACCACCTTGTATGTTCACTAATTCAATCACTGAGGAACTATATACAACTAACATGTGCTATTTATCACCAGAGGTACCAGGTAAAAAAAGGATGGAGGGAGAGATGGATTGATTCATTTAACAAATATTTTCTGAAAAATGGCTTTAAAGTGCTCCGAGATTACAGCAGAGCAGTAAACAAAGCAAGAGTACATAGACTTTCAAAGATATTCATATAAATAAATGAGTAAAACAAATTATCACTATTACAACAGTGACATGTACAAACTGCAGTAAGAACATGTCTGACACGCTCTTGCAGTCTGAGCGAGGCTACTGCCTATGCCATCTGTCTGTTACAGTCAGGGAAACCGCACGTCTTGGCTTTCATTGGAATTATGAGCCTCCTCTGTCCTGTGGGCTGTAAGTGCCTTGGTGGCAGGATTTTCTTCTGCCTCTGTGGCCTTGGGAAAAACCTGTTACCATTCAGAGCATTTCTGGCACCAATATCTGGTATATTATATCAGCCAAAATTTACATTGGGAAAAAAATCTATATACTTTCTTTTCAAGGAAAACTTTATTTTCTGATATGATCAAGTAATATTTAATAAGTTATTAATACTATCTACCTTGCAGAGTTAATAAGATTATAGACTTGGATTTGGAAAGTTTCATGATCCATTCAAGAAGGAAAAAAAACTAATCTAGTAATTAAATGGACAGTCATATGATTAATATGTATTTGTAAATGTAAGCTTATCATGCTTTTTTCCTTTTCTTGTTTCTGATTTGCTTGGCATTCCTTATCCATTCTTTCTCCTCCCTCCACATCCATGTCAAATGTCCACTTCCCCCGCCCATAATCCATGTTAACCACCTACTCCGTATCCTTCCATATTTCTGTCCCTGCCCATGTAATTATATGGAAACATTTATACTTTTATATTTTTACAAAGGATTTGACCATTGTTTCACAAAACTGAGATGGTATTATATAAACATTTTTGCATTTTGCTTTTTTCATTCAATACATGGGAGACATCTCTCTCCTCCCACCTCAACTGACAGATCCAATCTATTATATTACTTCCAATAGCTCCATTATATATACCGTGGAGTGAATGTCATCATATGGTATTCAGTCATTCCTCTATTCGTTTGCATTCACTTCATTTTCAGTTTATCGCCACTGCAAAGAACTCCAGCTTCCTATGCAGCTCTGCTAAAGAGAATAGCATCCCTTCAACTGGCGACACGGCTTATATTTCAGTAGCATGGGAACTAGGTAAGGAGGAAATCTGATATGCGTGTAACTGCTGAGCCCAGAGCAAGTCTGAAGGGTCAAAGTGGACATAAACTACCTATGCCTCATATGGTAAGGCATACTACAGTGGGCCCTCTATACTGAGTTTTATTAGAGAGAAAGCTTTTTAATAATCTGGGTTTTCAATATGTTTCTTTTATTCTCAAAGAGTTTTACAATCACTGGATTAGGAGGCTTTGGGTGGAGAAGGCAGCAACATTCATATTTGGAAGGAGCTAGAAGAAGGATGGGGTGGGAGGAGATTCCTCATCAGTGGGCCTCCAAGGGTATCATCTCAGTGTTTCTAGTTATTGCACATCTTCCCAGAGAAACGTCGATTTAAAAGATTAAATTATGTAGTTAGCCTGGGAATCCAGGTACTCCAATCCATGCACAACTATTCTGAATGGAAATGTTACAAATCTCCAATCTTTTTATCAGTTGATTACTTCCTACATTTGTACCCAAATTAAGAGGGTAGGGACTTAATTTTTTTTTTTTTTTTTTTTTTTTAGGTTTAGTTATCAGAAATTGTAAATCTTTCTCATCCTAACTTAGTTTTACCTACAGGATACACCAGAGCTTATACCGTGAAGTTACACTGGTTAGACAAATGTCATATCATTAAAATAACCACAAATTTATTTTGTGAGAGAGTGTGGGTATATGTCTTATATGCCATTATTTAGGAAGTCTGGCTAATTCAATTAGAATTTCCTTGTAGTGTTTATATTCAGAAGGGCTGGTAAAACATTATCAGACAAAATTAAAAAGGGGAAGAGGAAGGAAGGAGTATCCTGTCCAGTTGTCATAGAAATAGTTAAGGTTCTTAATTTATTCAACATGTGTTGGAATACCTGCTATGTGCAAGAAATATTCACAAGACCTTTGTGGGCAATATGAGAAGACATAAAATAGTCTTAGACCTCGAGGAACATATAGTCTAACAAGAGAGAGAAGGCAAAGCTTGAATCATACATAATATGTGATATATTAAGGGAAGAAAGAGAGTAACAGAGAGTATGCTTGGGATTTAGAGTCACAAGGACTGGATTCTAAAGTAAAATAAAGTCACTAGCACATAGGAGCTCAAAAGCCTGTAGGCCTGAGTACTGGATGGATTGCTTATAAAAAGCTTAAGTCATTCAACATGACACCAGGACTTGGGGTGGAAAAGGGAATTATGTACCAGATGGCTTTGACCATCAGGACCAGATGGGGTAGGGAAGAGCTTTTTGTGAGGATCAAAGTGTAATGTGGTTGATAGACTCTGAGGTCTGATGTTCATACGTTTGCATAATCCCCTCCCCTAGAGTATGAAAGGGACCCATGACTTGCTTCTAACCATTAGAACATGGCACAGGTGTACGCTGCTTCCTTGCGTCTTATACAAAACTCCACCTTTCTATCAGATTGGCTTTAGAGTCTCCCGCTCGGTTGCTGGCTTTGAAGAACCAAGCTGTCGTGAATCCTACGGCTGCAAGGAACTGAATTCTGCCAGCAGCCTGAGGGAGCTTAGACACCATCCCTTCCCCAGCAGTGTCCAGATGAAAACCCAGCCCTTGCCTTGACTATAGCCTTGCAGAGGATCCAGCTAAGCCCAAATTCTGACCCACAGAATTTGTAAAATAATAAATGTGTATTGCCTTAAGCAACCAAGTTTGTGGTGATTTGTTACACAGCACAGAAAATTAATACAGGTAGTGATTTAGGACTTTTGGGTCATCCAAGATGGGATAAGCCCACCACAGCCTCTCTCTCCTGCTAACTTATAACAAAAACAAAAAACTGGACAAAGTACGATATAAAAAACATAAATAATAAAAAGTAAACAAAAGTAGATGGATTGGGTAGAGCAGTCAAAATGTGGGGAGGCACTCTGTGTAGGGGTGACTTTCTCATTGCCCCCTCTTCTCTCAAAGTTTTGTCCAGGGTTGGGCCCCCGTCACAGCTGTACTGCAGCAGGTGTGGTATAGGCAGCTACAATGGAGAGAAATCCCAGCTTTCTCACTAGAGGACTAGGAAAAGGAATTCCTGCGAGCTAGACAGTGTCCCAGGATACTGGCAGGGGGGAATCCCAGAGAGAAATCAGCTGGAGAAGGAGATTCCTCCCATTCTGTGTATGAACCTTCACTGTTTGGGCTCACCCATGAGTTATGCATTTGAGATCTGAGCTACAATTTCAACATCCTCTGGCCCAAAGTCTCAGAATAACTCCCACACATGGGCCAGGCCCCAAGCAGCATAGTGAGTGAAGGCTTAATGCTAGAACCACTGAACCTAACCAGGTGGATAGCCTGCTAAAACAAAAACAAAACAAAACAAAACAACAAAACCAACATTCTCCAGAGGACTTGGAATAGTGCTCAAAGTCTATACAGCATAATCTATGTTTTAAAAGACCTTAAAAAGTCTTCTACCATCTAAAAAGTCTATATTCAAAATGTCCAGAATAAAGTCCAAAATTATTCCTCAAAGAACCAGGAAAATGTGGCCAACTGTCAGCAAAAAAGACAACCGATGCCAATGGCCAGATGACCCAAGGTTTGAAATGATCAGACAACTATTTTTAGAAGTATTAAATAGTTATTATAACTATGCTCCAGGAAACAAAGGGGAATATAAGAGTTGACAGCAGAGAAATAGAAACTATAAAAAGAGAAACAGGCCGCGTGCGGTGGCTCATGCCTGTAATCCTAGCACTTTGGGAAGCCGAGGCGGGCGGATTGCTCGAGGTCAGGAGTTCAAAACCAGCCTGAGCAAGAGCGAGACCCCATCTCTACTATCAATAGAAAATAAATTAATTGGCCAACTAATATATATATAGAAAAAATTAGCTGGGCATGGTGGTGCATGCCTGTAGTCCCAGCTATCAGGAGGCTGAGGCAGGAGGATAGCTTGAGCCCGGTTGTTTGAGGTTGCTGTGAGCTAGGCTGACGCCACAGCACTCACTCTAGCCTGGGCAAGAAAGTGAGACTCTGTATCAAAAAAAAAAAAAAAAAAGAGAGAGAAACAAATTGTAGAACTAAAAACCTATACACCTGAATTAGAAACTTCACTAGGTGGGCTCAACAGAAGAATGGATATGAATGAGACCATGAACTCAACAGATCTATAGAAATAATCTAATCTGAAAAACAAAGAAAAAAGATTGAATGAAAAATGAACAGAACCTCAGGGACCTGTGGGATGATACCAAAAGGTCCAACACTCATGTCTCTGGAGGCCCAGAAGTAGAGGAGAAAGACTGGTAAAGAAAAAAATATTTGAAGCAATAGTGGTGGAAAACTTCCCACATTTGGCGCGCTACATAAATGTATACATTCCAAAAGCTCTCTGAATGCCAAACAGGATAAACTCAAAGAAAACCATATCCAGACATAATGCACTAAATGCAGGCAGCCAAATTCAAAAGGACATGTGCTTATTTACACAACATTCTGGAAAAGGCAAAATTATAGGCACTGAAAACAGACCAGTGACCGCTGAGGCGAGGGTGGGGGAGGGACTGACCACAAAAGGCAGTAAAGGGAGATTCTTTGGAGGGTGATGGAATTACCCTGTATCTTCATGTGACGGTGGTTACATGACTGTATGCACTCATTAAGACCCATATAACTGTACATCAGAGAATCAATGGGACTATATGTAAACTCTAAAAAGTGAATAAAAACAAAAGCAAAAAAATAACATAAATGGTCATGGTAGGGGGAGTTCAGGAGAATGCTGAATCCTTCTCTCATGTACCACCCCCCCATTCTCCTAGACCCCCATTCCTGGCCTGATGAGCAAAGGAGTTTCAATTAAGTAAAGAAGGTGTGTATTGGGGTCTTCAATAACCAGAGGACCAGGGTATACCACAAGGCACTTAGGGAAGATTTGGAGAAAAGGACCAGGAAACTCAGAGCAGCACTGGGATTTGATTACTGATCAGGAAAAGATGACAGCAGGAACCTTTATTTTGGAAGGGTGGTGAAGAATTACAGAGATTGAAGAGAGGTATGACAAACTCAGTTGCCTCAAGGTATTTCAAAGTAGTCCTGACATTATTTTCATTTTAGGGCTAATATAGACTTCAGCCCCAGGATTTAGTTCTCAAGAACTATTTAGCTCTCAAGAACTTACTATTACGGCTAAAACAAAACAGGACAAAACCCCGTAGCAACTGCAGCCTGAATTCACCAGACTTAAACAGCATCTCTTGCTTCTACCTTTTAAATAAGCATCTTATAGTCACAGTGTTTGTCGTCTAGCCATTGACATGGGTATATCCATTTCCCTGTTTCATCAATGTCTTTCTACATTCCAGTATCTCCTTCCATTTGGTATTTTATCACAGAACAAAAGAAGTTTTTCATTTTCATAGGCTTTTCTCTGTAAAATAAAGCCGATCACCTGTATCTGTTACTTTGCCACTCAGCTTCCTTTCCTCTTCCCATTGGTATTTTACCCTGATTCCCTTGGAGGATCACTCTTCCTCTCACTAGCAGCTGGTGGACTTTAGGGCTCCAGGAATGCACTCTACGTCTAGCTAATCAAAGAGCACAGCATTCCCTGGGCCACAGTGCTTAAGACTCAGGGACGACACTGGATGCAGACCAAGCAGAATCAGAAGGCTGGAAGTTACTGTAGCCATCAACCAGAGAGAGCCAGAAAATGAAGCCAACACCAAAAAAGAGAAGCTAAGAAATTGAAAGAAAACTAAGTGTCTGTGAGATATGCCCCTTGAAATCAGGAATAAGTGGCTTCTGCAGCCTGACACTTCAGGGCCCTGCCCTCGCCTGGTCAGTGTGAGCGTGAGATCCGTACCAGGCCAGACACTCCCTGGAATGGGGACCCAGAACTCAGGTGGGAAACAGCTGGAGCCCATTCATCACACTGTGCCCTTCAAAACCTGCTGTGATACTCACTGCCTGGATACTCCAGGCTGTGCAGGTCTGTGCTGGATTTTCAGGGTGTCCTTCAATTTTGTCAGCTACCTCATCTCCTTCCAAATGTTCCTCTCCCCCACCCCCAGAACTGCACAGCTGCTTCCTATTGTTTGTAACCAAAGAATCCTGACAAATGCAGTTTATCAACAATCTATTGATTTAAACCTAGGCTTACTCAGTAAGTACTGACTGGATGCAGCACTACTTAATTACGATTTGTCTTAAGTAAACTAATCGGCTTCAGTAAACATTTTTACCACTAAGAAAATTACTTTAGTATTACTATATTAACATGTCTATTACAAGTATAGGAATTATAAGTACCATTTTGTGAAAACCTTTTGAGTTTAAAGTAGTCTCAAGTCAGAAAATGACAGTATAATTGTAACGGCACTCCATTTCCATAGTCAATTATATAATGACATGTGAAAATATATATTTTAAGTATGCTGGAAATAACAGAGGAGAATCTCCACCCCATCTCTCAGACACAGTAGTCCTTGCTGGCACATCCTGGCCTACATGCGACACAGTGGTTAACAACAATGATGAGGATTTCACTTTTGCTAGAAAATTTAGAAACATGCACTGTGTAACCAAGGATAAGCATATGAATCCTTTTCCCAAAATCATCTACTTCCAACTGCAAAGGAGTCTGGAGGTGAGGAACTGTGCTGGTTATGGATTTACTGCCTCTCAGTCCCAAACTCTGCTTTTTTGCCGGCTCTGTGAAAAAAGACCTGTGACCTTTAACTATTTTTCCTAAATGCCCGCTGGCATGATGTCCAGCGTTTTCAGTAAAGGGCGCTAGAGACACACAGCGGGAGACGGGTGCGCCGGGCAGGCTCCTCCAGGCCCACTCCCGCCGCACCGCCCGTGAGGTGGCTCTGTAGCACAGGACCTCTGGTGAGACGTGTTCCCAGGAATTACTTTCACTGCAGATGATGGGATTTCTAGCAAGTTCTGTCAACATGGTATCACAGTGATATCTCTGCCATCCCATGAGCCACGCTGTGGCCTCTCCAGTGAGGTCTGGGCCTCAGCCCTGGGGCTCTTACTGGAGGGTCCGTCTGCCCTTGTGTCAGGGGTCTCCTTCTATCCACTATTTCTACATTCTCTAAAGTTTTCTTTATTCTGATGCACCAATCCCTTAGTTCTCTTACCAATCCTTCATAGTAAATGTTCTCTGTTCCCTTAACATAGTTTCTCTTTCCTAACAGAAGAACCCACAAATTAGAGCCTGTTTCAATCCTGCCAATAAACTGGAGATTTTTTAATACTGTCACAGCAATAAATTTCACATATGTGCCTAAATCATGAATAAATTACATCAAAGTGTAAAATGAAAGGCTGAACTTAATCAATAGCACAAAGACCTGAAATATCAAACCTGACAGATAGAGTAAAGAACTCTCTTGCCTGAATTTGGCTAATATCACTTGCCCAGTTTTTCAACTCCATAATATTTCTATGTTCTGAAACTTGTACATTTGGGCAACTTTGGAAAAGGTTCTCCTTCATGAGTACTTACCAGCACCAAACAAGCGCTGGCCAGGCATAGAAGTGATGAAGCAGAGCCCAGGGCAGTTATTAACGTGCGAACTGGACTGCAGATGATCTCCAGGGCAGCTTTCTATTCAACAATTCTGCAATTTAGTGAACTAAAAGGACTGTTAACTGTAGATTTAGCTTCAGGAGCCATTAAACTAACCTGTGCTCAAAGTCAGATTCTAATTTGGGAAAGCAGGCAAGCATATAAGACCTGAGCAGAAATAGCTTGATGACAATCTGTGCAAGGGAAAAATCAAATGTAAAAAGAGACGATACCAGCATCCACCCAGTCCCTTGATCCAGAAACATCTGTGAGCCCCAGGGTTTGTATGTGAGGATAACAGGAGAGAAAGTTTCTAGGCTATGCACTGGAGTAATAAGCTGATGAAGGGCATGAACGTCTGCCTAAATAGTTTTTATAATGAAACTTAAAGTAGAAAAAACTATATGACTAATTACATTTGTGCAGGTTAAAACCACAGGTACTAAAACATTTGTAGGTAGATATTTCACATTAAAACTGTGAATTATAGCTGGGCATGGTGGCTGACACCTGAAATGCCAGCAACTCAGGAGGCTGAGGAGGCAGGATCCTTTGAGGCCAGGAGTTCAAGATCATCCTTGGTAACACAGCAAGACCCTATCTCTTTAAAAAAAAAACTTTAAAAATTAGCCAGGTGTGGTGGCACATGCCTGTAGTCCCAGCTACTTAGAAGGCTGAGATGGGAAGTTTGCTTAAGCCCAGAGTTCGAGGCTGCAGTGAGCTGTGATTGCACCACTGCACTACAGCCTGGGTGGCAGAGTGAGACTCTGTGTCCAAAAATAAAAAAATTAAAATGTGAAATGTCTAAATTCATATCTCAGAAATGATAAGGAAAATTTATCCCAAAAAATCAATTAATAGAAACAAATTTTAATTTCCTATTTTCTTTTCAACCACACATCAGGTTGAGATGCCCAAAAAGTAAAGCTAGCTAGAGATCCTCGGAGAACCATCTAAGAAAAAAAGTGTTTTATTTTTTGCTGTACTGTTCTTATATAGTCATGTTTAATTTTTAGCCATTCATTTAACAAACACAAAGCAGTGCACTGATTACTGGACCGAAATGAGATTACATTTGAGACTCTGACCTGCTTAGTCCCATACCTTGTATACTAATAAGTATTTAGTAGTTAGAGATTGTTGCTCCAGCATTTTAAACTACTGCCTAGAAATTACTATCTTAA